ACTATAAAAGTATTTTAAATAATTATGAAGCATAATAATCTAACAATTCTTTTTCTTCTGGTTTTAAAATGACTTTATCTTTTAAATTAACAACCCAACCAGGATGAAGACCATAAAAAATTTGTCTGGGATCTTTTCTTTCTGTTAACATATTATAATCTGGGTCATCCTCTAATTTTGGTAAAGTGTAACCATATTTTTGCGCCAATACTAATCTCTCCTGTGAAACTTTCTCAGGATCAGCTAAATAACCACGTTTCGCCGGATCAGTATAATATTCAATTGCATCCTGAGGTGGTATCATTCTTCTAGGAATTGGTACTCCTTAAAGTAATTATATTTGTTGAAAACAGAATAAAACACTTTTCTTTACTCTATTTACCTCTTTCAAAAAACTTTCTTGTGTTAAGCATGCACTGTAAACTATGTTGATCATAATATGCAGTAGTAATAACACCACCAGCCTTTTCAATTGCAGCTATCACTAATTCGCTGGCCCACTGCACTTCTATATTTACTTTTGCCTTAAACAAATCTACCCCTTCATCTGTAAGATTAACACCAAACTGTTGTTGATCAGGAAATAGCCTATATAGGCCTGTATTCAAAATAGCTACCAAATCTATAGGTTTAGAAATATCAATTCTATCAGTTTCAATCAACGTTTGTAACATAAGCATAGAAAGAGGTGGATATTGTCGTCGTAAACTAAAAAGAATTATAGTTTAAGTACTTTCAAGTACTGTAATGTAATTTATAGAAACATACTGATGTCCTTTGTAATATGGTTCACGTTTGAAGCGAAGATAAAAAGGAGTGTTACCAGTCTCATATCCCAACCTCATATAATTTTGTCGTTGACCGGATCCCTTGTTACCTGCACCATGTTTGTCACCCCCATGTTGACCACGACCACGTTTTTTACACTAAATTAAGTATTAATATGTAATTAAAAGCATTTATTCAAGCTAAATTGCCTTACTTTTTTTGCACCAGGATTGGTACGTATATTAGCCAGACAGACCCGAGGTAAATACCGTAATAAAGTTAACGCCTTATCCACAGCTTTCCCAGTACCCATATTTTTAAGTGGTTTTACTTAATTAATCCACATAAGTAATATTTTAAGTACAGCCTAACAGTTGTAAGTTCAGCAGTTGAATGAATTTTGGTTAGGTTATGTCACATTGACATTTAACAATCATAGATAAACAGTATGATTGAATGGGTGCGTTCAAGTACATCAACTCAATAGTTATTGCAGAAAAATAAGAATAAAGATGAACACCTTTTTAAATTAAAAGAATATTTTAAGAAATCCAACCTATTTTGTGCATTTTAATAACTAAACAATTTCTTTTAAAGTAAATTATGCCCTAATTACTAAGAAATAGTTTAGTCTTCACTCTTCACAAAAAAGATTTATTCATAAACATCACAGAAGAAACCCAAAAGTTTAATTATAAGAATATATCTATGAGAATTATCCATCGTGACCGTGACTGAAATCATATGACAGCCGCAGCACATATTGAAAAAGTAAATAAGTGGGTGAGGCGAAGACAGCTTTTAATACCTTAAAGTCGTGCAGTAGTTTTTTTTTGAGCAACAAAATGAAGGGATGCATTTTTAATGTTGATAACGGTTATTTGGAGGGTTTGTGCCGAGGTTTTAAATGTGGAATTCTGAAACAATCCGACTATTTAAATTTGGTTCAGTGTGAAACTTTGGAAGGTAACAAAGTCTCTTAGTTAGCGTTAGTGATAAGAACGTTGTTTGTAATATCATAGTTTTGTTACTTAGATTTAAAGCTTCATTTGCAAGGAACAGACTATGGAACGTTCTTGGCAAATGAACCTTCGCCGCTTGCAGTGTCTACGATTGACGATAAACTACGAGAAAAACTTGTGATCGAATTTCAGCATATGAGAAACCACGCTGTAGAACCGTTAAGCACATTTTTAGATTTCATAACGTACAGCTACATGATTGATAACATAATATTGTTAATTACTGGAACACTTCATCAAAGACCTATTTCTGAATTGATTCCTAAATGCCACCCGCTTGGTAGTTTTGAACAAATGGAGGCTATTCATGTAGCAGCAACACCTGCAGAACTGTACAATGCTGTCTTGGTTGATACCCCACTGGCACCTTTCTTTGTTGATTGTATAAGTGAACAGGATTTGGATGAGATGAATATAGAGATAATTCGTAATACACTTTACAAGTCTTACTTGGAAGCTTTCTACAATTTTTGTAAAGAAATTGGGGGTACAACTGCTGATGTTATGTGTGAAATATTGGCAGTAAGTTGAGAACTTAATTTGTTAATATTTCATACGTAAATGTTTATGTCTTTCTCTAAGTTTGAGGCTGATCGTCGTGCCATAATTATTACTATTAACTCATTTGGAACTGAGTTAAGCAAAGATGACAGGGCTAAATTATATCCCCGATGTGGTAGACTGAACCCAGATGGCTTAGCTTCACTTGCACGAGCTGAAGATTACGAGCAAGTCAAAGCAGTTGCCGAATATTACGCTGAATATAACAAGCTATTTGAAGGGGCGGGAAACAATCCCGGAGATAAGACCCTTGAAGACAAGTTCTTTGAATACGAGGTCTTTTTTTAATATCTCGGTGCTTTTAATGTTACTATAAATTAATTTCTGTTTCAGGTGAAACTTAATGTGCATGCTTTCTTACAACAGTTCCACTTTGGAGTATTTTATTCTTACTTAAAACTTAAGGAACAGGAAACACGTAACATTGTCTGGATTGCTGAATGTGTGGCTCAGAAACACCGAGCAAAAATTGATAATTATATCCCTATTTTTTAAAATCAGTATTGCAATTAATTTTGTTTTCAACATTCTACCAGTAGTCAAAATTTCAACNCTTAAGTCTAATAAAATATAATTACTAATGTTAATAAATAAATGTTTCTACAGAATTATCGATTGATATCGTTAAATGGCCAAATGTTGTAAGTCAATAAAAAGAGCAATTTATCACCAGTCACCTAGCCACAAATACTTTCATAAGTTCATTAAAAGTTCTTTAAATTTTACGAATATTTTTAACATGTATAAGCAACATCAAAGGAGCTCCAAGCTCAAAGCCCTTATTTAAACTGCTTTGGCTCTTAAAGCCCTGAAATATTTCTAAACCTTTTGTAATACCAAGACTCACTTCCTTTAAAAAAAGAAATGGTTTTTAACACTTTAAATAAATATCTTTAATTTTAGAGTGGCAAGTTATTCTCAAACACGGTGATAGTTCAGCATGACAGAGACTTTATCACATCAAAAGATGTGGCATTTAAGCTGATATGCGACCTACAAAAGAAACATACATTAAACCTGAAAACAAAATTGAAGAATGGAACATAAGATAAAACAAGGTAAAGTGTAAGGGATAAGTATTTTTTTTGTTGGAAAAGATACGAATAAAAATACCAAGTGAAAAAATATCAAATTCTTTTATTCATACAACCAACTTCGCAATAATAATAATTAAACAAGGTGGACTTTTAATTTCTAATAATTCCGAGTGTTCATTCCAAAACTTATCTTGCATTAAATCTTCATAAAGTGGAACTATTACTAAACGTGACTTATTTTGGTCTGGTATTTTTATTCTTTTTCTTATGAGAATTGTGCCCTTTTTGAACATTACTGGCTCGTTATTATAATTAATACCAAATTCACTAAACAATATTTCATTTTTATCTGATGACAAAGTCCCACTAAGTCTTTCTTGTGCCTAAAAGTATTTTTGTTCATTATATATTAATTAAAAAATGTTTCACTTATGTACCTCAGTATTTGATAATCCTCCTTTATTAATTAAAGTCCAAAAAGTGGTATTATATAAATTATTTATGTGAGTATCAGCCTGTCTCCAACTTAGATAATCACGTAAATTTTCGTCTGTGGGGTACAAAACTACACGAGAATCAAATGCAGGTGGATACAGGAGCTTTTGTTCATTAAAATATTCTTTCCAAAAGAATACAAACGAAGATGTAAATAAGCTATTCAAGTATGTCATTATCTTAGTTCCTCTACGATTATAAAGTTCCGTATCTTTTCTAAGCACAAAGGAATATTCATCACTTTCACCGTAAGCTAATGAAATGTCTTTAAACTCTTCCATTACAGTTACCGCAGCCCTGTTCATTAAATTTAAAGCTCTCAAATCGTTAGGTTTTTCAAACTTGTGTTTATCAGAGAATTTGTGAAAATTTCTACCATCAATTCTGACCACAATCCAGCAATTTGGTAATAGCCTATCTTCAAATTCGAATTTTCTTACATATTCAAATTTACTTTTAGCCATTATACTTGTTTTAAATAATCTTTTAAATGGCAAAAATAAATGTTTACAAGTACCAGAAATTTGGAGGTTATACATTACAGAAGATCGTAGATTTACACAATTCCATAGATAACTTATTCATTTCTACAAGCGCACACTCTATTGCTAAAATCTAGCATTAACGTAAAAGGCGCGGTTTTTCGAATTTCATGCCCAAAATTAGAAATGCCAAAACCGAAAAAATCCGACAAAAAACCTTTTATCTTAAACATAATCACAAATGTACTGAAATAATATGAAATAATAACAATTATGGAATTTTGTTATAAATAAATTGTAGAAAATTGGTAATGCTTTAAGTATAGCAATTATTTAGTATTACGTTTAAAAAAATAATTTCTTCAATTAAAAGTAAAGTCGGATTGTTTTCCATTTTCAGAATTGCTCAAAGGTGGGTCAAAGTGGGTCAAAGCGCGGATATTACATGCCTATAATTAGGTGTTGCAGGCGCTAAATAAATGAATTAATTGTTATTTGCGACATTTGTTAATAAAAAAATCAACAGAAAACATTTTCTTTGTGTATGCCGATTAAAGACTACCTCTGTTAGTACAACAAGTTGCGCTAATTATACAGAATGCAATATTTAATTGCATTTACTATAACTGATGCTTCCCGCTCCAAATAATTAATGTTATACTTGGTGAAAAACCTATTTAAAATCATGTACATTTAAAATTAAATCAGTTTTCCTGATAAATTTTAACTAATGATGAAGCTTACGCATATTTTTGCATTCATTTTTGTTTTCGGTATTTTACGTCCTAATTTGTGTTTAAGATATTTAAAATTAACTCTTTGTAGGCGCAATTTCGTCAATGAATGAAGAAAATGCTATAAACTTTAAACTTAGCTTAAATTGCAGTAACGAGTTAATGCGAATTTCAATAAAACCTACGCAAGAGTTTCATGGATTTATATATACCAAAGGGAATTTCAAAAATAAAGAGAAAAAGTGCTTTGTTGACGCAGAAAAACACCCAAAAAATAAAACCTACGAGTTAGAAATACCAGTGCATGATTGCAAAACGAAGAAAGTAAGTTGCTTAAGTCTAATAAAATATAATTACTAATGTTAATAAATAAATGTTTCTACAGAATTATCGATTGATATCGTTAAATGGCCAAATGTTGTAAGTCAATAAAAAGAGCAATTTATCACCAGTCACCTAGCCACAAATACTTTCATAAGTTCATTAAAAGTTCTTTAAATTTTACGAATATTTTTAACATGTATAAGCAACATCAAAGGAGCTCCAAGCTCAAAGCCCTTATTTAAACTGCTTTGGCTCTTAAAGCCCTGAAATATTTCTAAACCTTTTGTAATACCAAGACTCACTTCCTTTAAAAAAAGAAATGGTTTTTAACACTTTAAATAAATATCTTTAATTTTAGAGTGGCAAGTTATTCTCAAACACGGTGATAGTTCAGCATGACAGAGACTTTATCACATCAAAAGATGTGGCATTTAAGCTGATATGCGACCTACAAAAGAAACATACATTAAACCTGAAAACAAAATTGAAGAATGGAACATAAGATAAAACAAGGTAAAGTGTAAGGGATAAGTATTTTTTTTGTTGGAAAAGATACGAATAAAAATACCAAGTGAAAAAATATCAAATTCTTTTATTCATACAACCAACTTCGCAATAATAATAATTAAACAATATCCCTCACTATCTGGTTGGTTGTTCTCTTTTAGCTACACACCTTAAAGACTAATCTTTTCACTTTTTTCGACATAAACTGTTTTTATAATAAACAGACCACCCAATTATAATCAACAATTATAGTACAATAGTGCAATTAATTAATTAATAATANAAAAAATTGAGAGAAAGACGAAAGGAAATTATTTTATCCATCTGATTGAATGTATATATAAGGTAATAAGAGTGTAAATAATCTTTATAATTATTCCTATTGAATTAATTAAAATTTGAGTGATTTGGCGAATAGTGCGGCCATTGCCTGAGTTTTATCGCCATTAAAACGTCTAAGTTCGAAAATTACTTGCTCCCTCGTGAAACTCAAAGCTACGAGCTCTTTTATGTCGTCCTCTGTGAACTTTTCATTTAAAATTGCCTCGTTTGCAGTTATAAGTGGCTGATTTGCGCTAGAATTAATGCTTATACCTTTCTCGGCCTGCTGAGAACTACTACTACCTGAATTATCTGCAATAAAAAAACTTTGTATACACCGAAATTTTATCATTTTCAAACACGACTTCACAAACAATAACAGCGGATACTACATGCATGCAAAGGACTACGATCAATAAGATATCTTCCTTCATTTTCAGGATAATTTTCATACTCTTATTGACCCAAGTCCTTTATACGAGTACACATAGAGAAAAGATGTCGATTTTTTTCTTTAAAAATAAAATACTGTCGGTAATTTTGTAAAAACAATTTTGCTGTTATTCCAGAAATTAAGTCGTATACGTTTTAGTACAATTTATTAGTAGTTAATTATAAAATTTAATTGATTTTAGAAAAAGAGGTACATTTTAAATAAGTTTGTAAAATAAATAAATGAACAATCTGAAAGTACGTGCATTTTTCTAATAATTTTTCTTCCTCTTTTCTTTCGGCCCTACAAAAGTCAATTATTTAAAATGCAAACTTAGCAATTAACAACAAAACAACGCAAAAGACTTTCACCACTGTTATTAAAACAAGTTTTAACAAAAATGATTAAGTTTTACTCGATTATAGCGACTAAGAAGTAAAACCAATACCAGTAATTATTTAAAGAAAAAACACCGTTGAAAGTCTTAAATAGACGAAACGTTCAAAACACAGTAACTCACTTACCAGACCCTTTAATGTTAGTAAAAATTTGTTAGTAAATAGTCAAAAAATTATATTCTTGATTAATAAAATGATTATCTTTCAGAACTTTCAACCAGATTACAACGGCACATAAACTGGATGTCTTGTTATAGAACACCACCAAACTTTACTAATAGGTAAACAAAATGAACTTTAAAAACAAAAATTTTTATATTCAATTACATACAACTATTAATTTTTACTAATAAAAAAATATGTAAATGAAGTGTTTTCCATTAACTTTGAAAGTACCTAAACCAAATACTCCTCGAGTAAAGGAATAAACAAATAAATAAATAAACATTGTAATTAAATAGAATGTCATGTAATTTAATGAGCAAATGAATTGCTGATATTTATTAAACATACTCAGATTAAAAACTACAAATTTATATTTTTCGATATGACCAACTAACTATCTTGTTACTCTAAAGACAACTGCGTTCTACTCTTAAGAGATCCAAACATTAGAATAGAAAGATAATCATTTCAAAAATTGTGTAGAATATTTCGTCTGCCACTGTACATGCAAACTTACTTGTTGTCTCTTTACTTTTCTGAATGGCCTGTTGCAGCTCCATCTCCTCATGCTGCCTCCTGCCCTGCTGCATCAAGTCGTCATCAGACAAAGTGTTAAGGCGTGCACAATCAGGCAATTCGTTTTCTGGCAAGAAAGTTGTCTCTGTACCTGTTGTGCCTATTCTAAGCACACTTTTTCCAAGATCTATACAGCACTAAAAAACATCACATCTTAATAAATTCTGTACACTATATATATTAATTTTGTTTCATTGATTATTTTTATTTTACAAACCTGATGTCTTTTTAACATATCTAAACCTAAAAGCATATCCATAGGCTGCTCTTCAAGCACAGAAAAACTGGTTGTAAGGTAGTCCTTTTCGATTTGAATTTGCACCATGTGAATACGTCCAATTATTCTTTGCACACCAACACCTTTAGCTATTCCAGCCCATCTTGTGTCCACCAGACGCATTATATTGCACTTCTCTGCACAACTACTGGACATTATAGTAGTTTGCGCACCAGAATCAATAAATGCTTTTACAGGAATCCCATTGACTTTGCAATTAATGTAAAGCATAGTAACAGTTCCAAAGGTTTCTGGATTATACTCCATAGCAGCTTCCATGTTAGCTTCAATGTTCTTCTGTCGAATCTCTTCTGCAATGAGCCTCTGGGCTTCTGTATCAAATGGATGGGCATTCATCATTCGCAGTCTTTGTTGTTCTCTTTCCTGTCTGGCCTGAACTTGTTCTCTTAATACAGATGCAAATGTATCTGAAAATAATTTAATTAAATACCATATAATTTGACATTAAAAAAAAAACTGTTATAAAATTAACTTCAAAATTAATTAATTCACTTATTAACAAGGTAAAATAATACATATTCACTTACCAAGACTACCACTCAACAGAGAATCTGCCAATCGAGGATTGTTTTGTTTTAACAAAGCAAGCTGATCAGGATTGGCAAGGAACATGTCACGAATCATTGCAGGATCATCTTCTACAGGCCTTTGAGGTTGTACCCCTGGTACCCCTCTAACGGTCGTAGCTTGTGGGACTTGTATTCTGCTAAAGTCCAAGTTTGGTACTAAAAAAGACACACTTTTAGTTTAAGAATAGAGATAAGAACAAACAAAGGAACTCACCTCCTGAAAAACTGTGTTGAGAGTCTGAAATCATGTGTTGAATAATAACCACATCACCGTCATGAATACCGTGTTGCTTTAAACTTTTCTTATCATCAAGCAAAGGTAAACCGTTAAACGACAATAAGATTTCGGGCGCTGGAATACCGGATTCCACTTCACAAAAAGCTTTGAAATTTTCTAATTCTAAATCCTCCGATACATCAAGCACGAATATAAAATCAGACATAGTCGTAACCGTCACTTTCATTTTGTATAATTTAATTTATTTTACAATTTCACTGAAAATTTGACTGCACCAAGTGTTTTGATATTTAACTCTAACCTATAAAATTGTCACAAAGCACGAAGAACAATGAACTGACGTATTTAAGTTTTTACATCCAAATCAACAGCGACTCAGCAAAAAACAAAAATAACGTCATCGTCTTTAACAAAAGTTCAATAAACGAATAAATATATTTGTTTATATACTTTTAAAAAAGACTGAAATTTTGTTAATTCATTAGTTATCATGATCCCAAAAATACGACCATACTAAATGGTTTTACACAAAACCAAGCACTAAGATGTTGGTTTTCATCTAATTTAATTTATTAGTTAAACAATGTATTTTTAAAGTTTGATTAATAGTACAAGTAAATTACTTGAATACTTAATAAATGATTGCTGAATGAGAGGGCCTGAGAGTAACAGGAAGTAATTTTAATTAAACGGAAGTACAACAAAGTATACAAAGCGGTAAAAGTGCATTTTGTATTTTTGCGGGAAATATAAATATTAGAAGTATTAGTTCTTCCCTCCTATCACTCACTGTGAGCTCGAAACTTTTAAAATTAAAAAATTTAGAATTCACTTTTGTAAACAATACTATGACGTAGTGTCGGCCATCATTCTTTTCTAATTGTTACTGTTGTCGGCCATCATTCTTTT